GGTGGATTCCTAGGAGTTGTAACTGCGAGGCTGATAAGTTAGCAAATGAGGGGATTGGGTGATGGTTATTTTTGTTTCAGTGGGTTTGGGTGTTTAGCAGTAAGGATTTATAGGCGTGTGTTTAAGTTTTATGTAACTGGCAGGAGTGTTTTTAAGTCTTATGTCTTTGTTTGAAATCAATATATTGAGGCACTCTTTTCCTCCTTCCGCTAATAGGTTCTTGCCTTAGGATAAAGGACTACTAAGATGGAGGTTTTTAATGAGGCCTCTTAATTCTATCAAAAAAGAAATTGAGAAGTATACTCTCTTTTATAATTCTCTTTTATCTACATGGTATCAGTTGCAAGCGATCATCCTCATCCAGTTGCTTTCGTCGCTGATTGTTAATCCTTCTCACCGTTTTGTTTGTCAACACCGCTTCTCTAGTCATCGTTCGTGGCAGCCCTCAACGTTCATTCACAGAATTTCGTTGTTTTTCATTGCTATCTGTCAGCCTTCATTGTAGTTTGGCTTAATGTTGTCTCTCTTACACTGTTCGTTGAAATCGGTGACGCTGTTTTTTCCTATTCTAGTTCCACTGACGCTGTTTTACTGCCGCCGTTTGTGGCGAATGCTGCTAGGGTTCGATTAACACCGATTCTCACCCTAACCCTTGATTCCAATGTTTTCCATCTACCCGACTATTCACCATGACTGTTGCTTCTTCCTCGATGTCATCTCGGAGGTCCTCTCTCGCTTGCCTCATCCGGTTCTCACCGAGAACATCTCTGCCTCTATAACTTGTCACCGGTTGAATGGTGACAATTACATTCCTTGGTCCCAATTGGTCCATCTCTACATCACCGACTGACGCAAGCAACACTTCTTCTTAGAGTCAACACCAATACCTGTTATCAATGATCCCTAATATTCGAATTGGCTTAGTGAAAAATACATGGTTATTTCATGGCTCATCAACTCCATAACTCTAGAGGTGGGCGAAATTTTTTTGCTCTACGAGATCGCTGTTGAAATTTGGATTGCTGCAAAAGCTACTTATTCAAATCTAGAAATCTCAAATAGAAAAGTATGAATGTTACCCGATACTTTACTCTCCTATCGCACTTGTGGCAACAACTGGATCTATTTGAATCTCATGAATGGAGATGTGTTGATGATGTGTTGATGATGTTCGATTGTTCAAACAAATCGTGGAAAGGCGTCGGATATTTCAATTATTATCAGAGTTGCATTGGGATCTTGACAAAGTTCGAGGAAGAATTTTAGGGCTTAAACCTCTTCCTTTGATTCGGGAGGTTTTTTCTGAAGTTAGACGAGAAGAGAGTCGACGCACCATTATGTTTCGTGATTCTGTGTCCACTGAATGATCAACGCTACTCACTCACTCCCAAAACAACCCTCGACCTAAAAAGGGGCGACCTTGGTGTGATTACTGTAAGAAGGTTGGCCATGTAAGAGACACTTGTTGGAAACTATACGGCAAACCGAATGACGGAAAATCTTCAAAGCAACATCAATAGTGTGATGCTCAAGGAAATTATGCTTTGTCTACTGGATTGCAGGGAAGTTCGTTTAGTATGAAACAAATAGAAGAACTGCAAAAGCTCTTTGGCCAACTACAGCCTCCTTCTGCACCAACATCCTCCTCTCCTGCATGTAGCGTCTCCTTTGCTACTTTGGCTCACAAACCCGACACTCCTATGTGAATTGTGGATTTTGGTGCAAGTGATTATATGACAGGTGATCTTCGACTCTTTCAATCCTTCAACGAGGGATCGTCTATTTCTCATATTCGAACAGTAGATGGCTCACAAAATAGACATCTTCTTGAGGTCACTCAGTCTCTTTTTTCTCTATGAATGTTTCTCGTTCTTTTTAGGGATGCTCTTTTAACTGCCACATACTTGATTAATCGACTACCCAGTAAACCCTTGCGCTTTCAATGTCCACGAGAGGTATTTCTTCAATTAGATCCTTGTGCGTTTCGCTGTGTGTTTTTTGGTTGTACTATCTTTGTACATAACAATGTTCCTTCCCGATCCAAGTTAAATCCTTCAGCGTTTCGGTGTGTGTTTCTTGGTTACTCTTCCACTCAAAAGGGTTTTCGATGTTATTGTTCTCAAACTAAGAAATTTTTTGTTACAATGGATGTCACATTCTTTGAGAAAACTCATTTTTTCTATAAAATTGTAATTCAGGGGGAGTCTTGTAGTGAATTTCAGTTGCTTCAACCATCTTATGTGAACCAACCAACAACATCGAACTAGCCGCATTTGAACCAACCAACCACGCCACCGAACCAACCATCTTTGGACCGAATAACCACGCTCCCCCTTGACCAGCTATCATCGCCGAACCCATTAGAACCAAAAAATTTACCGAGTCCATCTCACCTAGATCGACCAGCAGCACCAAACCAGCTCACTTCACCTCAAACTGAAAATACCAAATTGTTGTTTTACAAGAGAAGACAAAAACCAATGCCTGAGCTTACTTTCGAACCTCGACCCAAGTCTCCCACACAACATAAACCCTCTCATGAACCGGAACAAAGCCCAAATCCCTCGAGAGATGAAGAAGGTAACTCAAGTCCCTCTAATGAATTAAATGCCTTGATTGATAACATTGATTTGCCAATTGCTCAGAGGACAAATCATCTGATTAATAGATTTGTTGGATGTGAAAAACTAACTCCTTGTTTCAAGAATTTTACGGACAATGTAGACAACATTATCATTCCAGACAGGGTGGAAGAAGCATTGAAGGACCCTAGTGGAAAAAGACGATAGAGGAAGAACTAATCACACTAAAAAACAACAACACACGGGTCATAGTTAATCTCCTGAAAGACAAGAAACATGTTGGCTGTAAATAGGTGTTCACGGTGAAATACAAGGCGAGATTAGTGGCAAAAGGGTACTTAGTCACAGGGAAGTGATTATCAAGAAACGTTTGCTCTTGCGGCAAAATTAAACACTGTGAGGGTGCTATTATCTCTGGCAATCAATGAGGATTGGTTGCTTCATCAACTAGACATCAAGAATGCTTTTGTAAACGACAACTTAGAAGAGGAACTGTATATGCGATTCCCACCAGGTATGAAGAGTGGTACAGGAAAAACATGCCGACTACTAAAGTCTTTGTATAAACTCAAACAATTTCCAAGAGTATGGTTTAACAGATTCACGAATGTAATTATTTAGGATGGATACAAGCAAAGTCAATCGGATCTTACCTTGTTTGTCAAAAACAACTTCAAACAAGAAGAAGGCTATTTTGATAGTCTATGTAGATGATATCATCATAACGGGTGATGACTCTGTGGAGATAGAAAGATTAAAAAGGCTACTAGCAAGGGAATTTGAGACGAAAGAATTGGGAAATTTGTGATATTTCTTAGGCATAGAGGTTGCAAGGTCGAAAGAAGGGATAGTGATCAATCAAAGGAAGTACACTCTTGATCTGCTATCAAAAACAGGAATAAAGGGATGCAAACAAGCTTAAGCGCCCATGGAAGCAAATCTTAAGTTAAGAACAAAAGAATTGGGAAGCTCGATAAATAAAGAACAGTACCAAAGGCTAGTAAGTAAACTCATCTACTTATCACTTACTAGGCCTGATATAGCCTTTTCTGTCAGTATTGTGAGTTAATATATGAACGATCCAAGAGAAGAACATTTGGAGGCCATGAATCGAATTCTGAGATACTTGAAAATGTCACTGGGACATGGATTGATTTTCAGGAAAAGTAAAGATAGAACAATGAAAATCTTCTCTAATTCGAGCTGGGCAGGAGAATTAATTGACATAAGATCTATAATCGGTTATTGTTCATTTGTTTGGGGAAATCTTGTCACTTGGAGAAGTAAAAAGCAAACTGTGGTCTCTTGAAGTAGTGTAGAAGCAGAGTATATCAATGGCACTCGACATTTGTGAGGGAATTTGGCTACAAAGACTGTTAACTGAGTTGGGTTTATGTGAAAACAAGTGTTTTGAACTTCAAAGTGACAATCAATCGGCAATAAGTATTGCGAAGAATCCAGTTCATCATGATCGAACGAAGCATGTGGAGATTGATAGACATTTTATCTCAGAAAAGGTGAATGATGGACTAGTAACACTCAACTACTTTCCTACCAAAAAATAATGGGTGGATATCCTCACCAAGGCGCTTCCCCAAACCACCTTCGATGAGATCGTATCCAAGATGGGTCTTTTCAACATTTACTCCCCAGCTTGAGGGGGAGTGTGAGTTGTACGATTGTATAAGCTTACCTAGTAGTTTAAGTTAATTGTAATTTTAATTTTAACTATTAACATATTGTATTAGAATAAAATACTATAAGGTAGTCTAGTTCTAGTAGGAAACTTATTCCATACTCCATAAATTGTATATAAATAGGCTTGTATTCACTAGATTAATCAATGAAATTGAGAAGTATTCTCTCTTCTATAATTCTCTGTTATCTACAGCAGTATGTGGTGGTTATTTTGTTGTTTAAAATACATTGGAAATTGCACTTGATAAGATAACCTTAGAGAGTGCCCTAACGGCACTTGTTAGCAAAACCCTTAAGTGAAAGTCATGAGCCCATCTTCAACTTTTAGTAGAAAGAAATAAACTTAAAAGGACAGCAAGCTATCCTTTTAAGATTTGGGGAATCAATGATTATGACTGAAATAGTTTTCCCTAACCCGCATTTCTTTTGTTTGGTTGACGGATATGTAAAGATGCCAAAGTGAAATTTTGTGCGCTGCAAGAGCTGTAGTGTGCTTTTCTGCTTCTTGTCTTTAGCCTCATTTTTTATAAATGGCTAAAGCAGCCACTTGATTGGCTGATTTACCATGAATAGTAATTGCAGCATATGGTATATTCTTGTCATCTAACAGGCCTAGCAAGAACCTTAATTTCTAATATAGTCCCGTGTAGTGCATTATTCTGTACATTTTCCATTTCTTAAGTTCTGCCACTTGTTTGAGTAACACAATTCCTTGCATAGATTTTAAATACATACCGAAGCTTTGCCAATGAGTCAGAGAGGGAAGAAGTTTCTAGAAAACTTCAGCAGACTGAAGACTGGCTTTATGAGGATGGAATGGATGAATCTGAAAATGTTTATGTGGAGAAGCTTGAGGATTTGAGAAAGGTATCTATAACTTGACTAATCATCTTTTTACCTCAGTTCTGATCTGTAATCACACCAACTAGTTCATTTGAATTGTAAAGCTTGTGGACCCTATTGAAAATCGGTATAAAGATGAAGAAGCTCGAGTACAAGCAAAAAGGGATCTGCTAAAGTGTATTGAAGATAATCGGACGGCAGCAGCATCACTGCCATCCATTAAGAAAGATGCGGTACATGATTGTTGATGTTTAATTGGTCAATGTGTTGATATTGCTAGTCCATTGGTTATACACACGGTGCTTCTCCTTTTGCAGGTCAGTGAAGAGTGTAATAAAGCGGAGAGGTGGTTAGAAGAGAAGTTCCGACAACAAGACTCCTTGCCCAAAGATGTTGATCCGATAGTTTGGTCAAGTGAGATCGAGAGAAAAGCAGAGGCTCTTGAAGCGTAACAATCTAATGCTACTCATCTTCTTCTTTATATCCATTTATGCTTATCTTTTCAGAAAGGGATTAGTCATATAAGTACTGTACCATAGCATATATATTCTGTATTTGGGGATTATCAATAGAACAATGCCATGATAGTTAGAAAGGCCCGTGCTACTTATAATGCATGAAGCAAAAGTTTTCTGGCAAAATACCATGATCTGCTGTAAGATTGGTAGCATTTTTTTGTTAATATCTGATGTGTGTGTTTTTTTTTTTTGTTCAGGACATGCAAATATATGATTAGATCCAATGATTCTACTTCAAGTAGGGAAGACATGAACGATTCTGATACAAGGAGGCAAATCTAATGGCATGCAGTAGGATTGGTGCTGATCTGCATTGATTTCTAACACCAAAGAGGCAAAGACAAACCAGCACAAAAGCAACTAAATCAACTGCAATCTTAAATGCAAAGATTTATACAACTGGTTCAAAATTGTTTGGGGTTTTTTTTAGTTCCAGTAGCAGCAGAAAGCATAAATCAACATTGTTCAAGGTGAGCACTCATTGTTTTTTATTATCAAGGTCATCTTTGTTGATGTTTGTTTGATTAAATGAAAATGTTCAGATGATGCCCTTACAATTCCCGTTACGCGTGGCTCACATTAGCCCTTTCTTGTTCCAACTTCTGAACCTTTTGATTGTTTTGGCCATCACATTAGACGGTAAAAGGATAGCATCGGCATACCATCAGAAGTAACTACTATAGTGAATGGAAACTATTACGTAGTTTTTGTTTCTATTGTGTTGAAATTTGAGATTTAATCTCCAAACTGTAATTTGTCATGATTTAATCATCCTCACACTTGCATACCATTATATTAGTAAGTCCAAACTAATAACGCCATTAGTTGTACTTGAAGTGATGTACACTCTTTTAAATATTATTACAATTAAACAATCAAGGCCACATAAAAATATACTCAAATCATATTCAACCAACAGTAAATGTGCATGTAAGTTTGAACTTTTATTGTTGTTTTAGGTGTTGTCTACGCCATCGCGTTAATGACAGCAACTAATCAATCTAGATCTATTAATAGCATTGTAAATTTAGTGATACAAAATTATTCAATTTCACTATAATGGAGGGACTAAAGCCAACATTGGACCAAAAAGTTTCTTATCAGACAAGACAGTTTGAACCCAATTAAGAACCAGAGTGACAGCCAAGAACGAGCCTGGTTCAGATGCTATCTGGGCCCTTGCCAACGGTCTCCGGCGGTAATTCTTAAGGGTCTCGATGATAATTGTACCACTTGAGGCTCCCAGCACATTGCTCACCCATGTTTTCAACCTATTTAGATACTTATTACGAGAGCAATCATTTTTAATCTAATTTATTCCATTTACAACATTAAAATTATAATATTTGGTTTTGCTTAAAGAAACTAACATTTTATCTCGTTAGACTAATCTGTAATTGGTAAGTCACTGTATCAATTAATCTTTCAATGAATATAAATTCACTTACATTTGCTGGATCGAGTGATAAAAATGATAGATAAGAAAATCGATTTCTTTCAACACAATTCGAATCTTAAAATTTTTAAAAAAATAGTGTCGGAAGAACTTTCCCAAGGATCAATGTACAATGGAACAGTATAAAGATCTTATCTACCCATCAAAATTTACATGTTATACATTGGAATACATATTATTACATAAAACCTGCAAGAATCGGGAATTAAATATGACCAGACACATGAACATGAAACCTTTTGATGAACCAGGAGTTAAAAAGACTTGCTTCCCGTTATCTTCATCTTTGATGCATCATTGGTCTCTCGAGAAAGATTCAAGTAGTCGCAAACTAGAACTGTAACAACACGGTTATGGCTGTCGAAGATGCGACGAGGAGATAAACTGCAACATATTCAGTGTAAAGACCTGCAAACAGAGAAAGTGGCAATTCAAAGTGGTCAGACTGCATGGACAATTTTTTACTAGAAGGTTTATTTCTTACCATTTTGAGCATTTGTTGCTGCTGGTAGTGCAGGAATTCTTACAGCTGCATGCCGGAACCGAGTGAATATGAAGGTAATTCGAAATCATGTTGTAATATGAACTACACAAACTAGCGGTAAATTCTAGAGTACATACTTTTGTTGCATGATGAAGCTGTTAGTAGTGACCTAGAAGGCCATTGAGCTGGAACATTATCGTTCAGATCGCAAATGAAACTGATCCCCAAAAACTTGTCCAGCGTTGCATCGGAGGGCAAGCTTGGCAAAAGGCATCCAGATGCTAAAAGCAGCGGAGTTATACATGTTAATATCTTCAATGATCAGAGGTATAGATGATCTACTAAGCCATACGTGATTTCGAACTGTGCTTTCATCATAATTAGATATTAGAAATCGCAGTAAAAGATAAGAGATGCACATAGGAACGAATTCCCGGTATGTAAAAACCAAATTTATGCTGCCAATTCTGAGTGCAGAAGAATCTTACCCTGGCTTCCAACTGATGCAAACAAGTTGTCGGTAATCGGTATCAGAATCAATCATGACGAAAAAAGGAATAAAGTATTAGTACCGATTCAAATATGTTATGTAAAGATCACTTCAGTTTGCTCATTGTCGTAACCGGCTTTCGTCCGGGCACGAATTTTTACTTTTTGGCGGGGAAATTAATGTTAATAAATAATTTTGAAAATGATTTGTGAGTCGCCATCGGCCTTTTGGATCAGGTAGGTCGAATACCTAAAATTATCTTTTAAAATAGTTTTTAAGAAAACCATATTTAAAAGATGAACTGATCTGCGTTTTATAACCAAAAATTCGTTCTTTTTAATAATAAAAAGGGATTCGTGGTCGGTTACGTTTAGGGAAGGATTAGCACCCCTACAACGCCCAAAATTGGTACTTTTTAATTATAAATTGTCTCTTTTATTAAAATTTAAAAATTCAAAAATATATTTAATTTATAATCCTATTATTTCAAAATTATATAAAAAATATTTATTTATTTAAAAATATCCGAAAAGAACTTCTAGGTGCCTTAAGACAGCTCTTTTCTTTGATATTGATAAATATTAATTTTAATAATATTGTTTACTTTTTAATTTTAAAATATCAGAATAGGACATCCAGTTGTATTAAGACTGTCCTTTTTCTTCGATATTAAAAATAAATATTTAAAAAAACTATTCATTATATGTATATTTATGAATATATAAAAATATTTAACAATATAATAAAAATATCACTAAAACAATATATTCTAAACATTAAAATGAAAACATATAAAATAAATAACTAAATTATAAAAATAAAATTAAATCTAATTCCTAATTAATTGAATTTATAGGGTTTAAATATTTTATTTTCTAATTTAATAATTTAGTGACCAAAATGAAATTATTTAAAATTTAAATTTTATAATAGAATAAATTAAAAATATGAACTAGGGATAAAAAAATTATTTATTAAAATTAAGGGATTAAATCTGTCATTTATCCTAAATATATTATTTTAATAAAAAGGACTAAAATGAATAAAATTAAAATTCAAAGACTGAATTAAAATTATTATAAATTCAGTTTAGTGACCAAAATGTAAAATTTACAAATACGAAGGACTGCGGAAGGGATTTAACTTTTCCATAATTACGCGCATAGTCCTTCCCGAAACGAAGTCGTTCGGGAAGGACTATAAGAGTCCAAATCGGCTGGCCCGAAGGGCCAGCCATTTCATTTCTTCTTTCCCTTTTTTTTTCTTTCTCTCAAACAGAGAGAAGAACTCTCTGTCTTCTCTCTAAACTGAGAGAAGTTCAGTCGGCCGGCAGCCGTTAGCCGGCGTTCATCCGCCGTCAACCACCGCCGCCGGCCACCGTCTTCGGTGGCCGGAAAAATTTTTCTTTTATCTAAACGTAGATCGGACCGTCCTAATGACGGTTCCGATGTTTTTTTTCGTTAAACAGCTCCTAATCGGAGCAAATCTTGAAAAATACCTTCGGTTTTCGAAGGTTTGTTGTGGAGCGTGGAGGCGCGTGGTTACTCCGGTGGTGGTGTAGCTTTCCTCGGTAAGTCTCTTCTTCCTTTTTCTCTCTTTTTTCTTCTGGTTCTTTGCTGCTGGGATCTTTGGTACTAGTTTGTTTTTTTTCTTTTTCTGTATTTTTTTTCGTTTTCTGTTTCTGTCTCTTCTTTCTCTCTCTGTCTTCTTTTTTTCTTTTTTTTTCAGGTGGGTGGTGGCTTTTATAGCCACCACCGGTGTTCGTCTCGGACCGGTCCGAAGAGGGGGCTTCGGTGAGTCACCGGACTACCAGTGGTGACTCACCCCGTAGCCTTGCATGGACGGCTGGTATATGATCTTCTGGAGTCTTCGGTTGGGATGTGGCAGCGGCGTGGCGGCGAGAAGACTGTCGGCAGCCGCGTGGAAGCTGGGGCGACGCCGCGTGGCCCTAGGGTATCAAACCCTAGGGTTTCTCTCTGGAACCATGTGGACCGTTGGATCGTGCCAGATCCAACGGTTGTGATGAGGCGGCTGAGGATGATTAGGGTTAGGAAACCCTAACTGGAAACCCAAATATTTAGGGTTTCTGGTTGGATTTGGGCCGGTTTCAGTTGGTTTGTAACTGGGCCGGTTGAATTGTAATTGGTTTGTAATTTATATGTATTTAATATATTTAATAATAAAATAATAATAATAATAAAAATAAAATAATAATAATAATAATATTAATAATGATAATAATAATATTAATAATAATAATAATAATATGGATAAAAAATAGTATCTTCAGCTGCCCCTCTTTGCTCATTCTTGTGTTAACAAGAATAGGGCAAAGATGAAAAGATAATAAAATTTTTTATCCATTTGACTTTACTTTGATCATTATGGGGATATTGAATAAATTCTTCTTTTTCTCCAGATGAGTTCTTCTCATTATGAACTTTCTGCTGGGGATGATGTTCCATCAAATGATGAATTCAAGCAAAAGATTGAACAAGTTCTTCTCATTATGAACTTCTTCTTCCTTCTTCAGATGACGAGTTCTTCTCATTATGAACTCTTTCTCTGGAAATGATGATCCATCAATTTGATGAATTCAAGCAAAAGGTTGAACAAGTTCTCCTCATTATGAACTTCTTCTTCCTTCTTCAGATGACGAGTTCTTCTCATTATGAACTCTTCCTCTGGAAATGATGATCCATCAATTTGATGAATTCAAGCAAAAGGTTGAACAAGTTCTTCTCATTATGAATTTCTTCTTCCTTCTTCAGATGACGAGTTCTTCTCATTATGAACTCTTCCTCTGGAAATGATGATCCATCAAATGATGAATTCAAGCAAAAGGTTGAACAAGTTCTTCTCATTATGAACTTCTTCTTCCTTCTTCAGATGACGAGTTCTTCTCATTATGAACTCTTCCTCTGGAAATGATGATCCATCAAATTGATGAATTCAAGCAAAAGGTTGAACAAGTTCTTCTCATTATGAACTTCTTCTTCCTTCTTCAGATGACGAGTTCTTCTCATTATGAACTCTTCCTCTGGAAATGATGATCCATCAAATTGATGAATTCAAGCAAAAGGTTGAACAAGTTCTTCTCATTATGAACTTCTTCTTCCTTCTTCAGATGACGAGTTCTTCTCATTATGAACTCTTCCTCTGGAAATGATGATCCATCAATTTGATGAATTCAAGCAAAAGGTTGA